GATGTAAGGAACTTGAGCATGGACTAGTTCAAGTTAACATGAAACAAATTCGAAGTCTGGACAAGCGTTAGTAGATCACGTGGATGCTTGACTCAGTATGTTCTGTGATTCAATCATCTATGCAGACCTTTTGGCTGAATTACAAAATCTGTGACTTACTCATCTTGATCTTAAATACGAGGCTTCTCTCTTCTGCCATCATCTATTTTAGGGCTGCAATCTCAAAAGAACCTGCAAGTCTCAATCTCACCTTCCTGTCATGTTTTGTCACCAAACCCATCATGATAAAAACAAAGGTACGCTTTTTTCCCAAAGCTACTCAGAACTCCAGAGCGAGCCTATGTGATGCTAAAAATACATGTGGTATCAACAAACCCGCTGCTGGGCTGCATGTCTCTCACTTAGTAGTGGAGTTACCAGAAGGGAGAAGGAAACTGTGAGCAGCTGGAGCTCGTCTATACCCCGACTCGCACAGCGCAGTGACGGAACATCTCCATCTCACCTGGAGATGCCTCTGCCCCGACCTGGTCCGTAAGACAACTCAAAGCCGTAAGTTCGTGAGGGTGTAATTAGCTCCTCACTCATTATTACATTCATGAGAACTGAAATATGACAAAAAGCTGAAATAAAATAATACATAAAGCTTGTCACATGCTAGCGCTTTTTTTTTCCATAGAAAGTTCTTACTGGTCAGAGCTTCGTTAAGACTATCAGCAAGTTAAGAATCACAACTAGAATCTGGATTTATTTTCTGTTAAATTGCTTCCCAGAAAGAGTACTAAAGGTTAAATTATTTAAATTCTCTAGACATGAGACACTTTTTTGCTGTCACTTAAGAAGACTGAATTTTAAACAGCACATAGAAAATCACCAGTATTTGGAAGAAAGCAGTCTGATCTCTTACAGAGAAAGATGGACACTCAGGCACATTTTTCTCTATTTAAGATTTCAACTTGAGAACAAAAATATTTCCAGCTTCTTTCTCAAGCTTTCAAAACAACTGCATCTCACACCGCGGTGTAATTTTTCCTCGGGGTATCTTGAGGGATTTATGTTATCTAACGTCAGTGTTGCAGGCAGCAGCTCCTTGACATGCTGATGCCAAGATGCAGGCATGGAAGTGTGGGAAGGGAAAACCCGAGGGCTTTGCTAGCTGTTTGTGTCAGGTAAAGCGAGCTTTGCTCAGAATCTGGCACTAGGAACCTTTTCAAAAATGAGGTAGAGCAGTGGTTATTTTTCCCCAGAGCAGGAAGAAAGAGCTATGCTTCCTGACAAGAAGTAAAATGTTTTACAAAGTGCACAGATGAAGGCAGTGGCATGTACGGGTGCGGGAGCCAGGCTGATTCTCTAAGAGCACAGATCAAGTCGGTATGTCTTTTCTCGAATTATCTTAATTGCCGAGAGGGCTGTTCAGACCTCGAAAATCAAAGTAGAAATCTACTCGGGTAATACGTATTCTCCCTTTCGTTTTTGCAGAATTCCAGCACATCAATTTCACAAAGCAGTTGAGCGCTTGGGAGCGTAAGTGATTTTCAAGCATCGTGTGCTATCTCCTAACGCACTCCTTGAGCGACCGTAAGCTACCTCCGGCGACACAACACCCACAGTCAAGGGCTGCTCTGCCAGACTCTGCTTTTACCAATGCTTACTACCGTGGGTCTCGTAGGTAAAAATGGTAATTATTTATTCCTTTAATAATGGAAAAATGCGTATGGCAACAACAGGTATGATATCCCAGGGACATCTAATAACGTGAGAGATGTTCCATACTCACCTATGGCCTCTATTTTTGAAGAGACGATAAATGGACCGGGAAAAATAAAGCTTATTTCTGCCCTGGTTTTGGTTACAACAGAACCAATTCTCTTCTGGTGAATCTTCCTTACAGCTAAGTGCTCCTAAGTAACTGCATTTTTCTGAAGTTGGCTGCCTATTTTACAGACAGTGTCTTCAATGAATACTGAGGTTATATTTTGCCTATGCAATTAAGCTTAATGTTATGAAGTTATAACTGTGTTTGTCTACTCCCCTTGAAATACTATCTTTGAAACCACTATATAAACTGGATTGGGTCTTTTGTCACAGCTGCAAAAAATGGGAAAAGTAATTCCTGACTGTGTGGTTTGGAGCATGATGCAGAAAAGGTGGATTAGCCTAGTAAGTTATATTGCTACTTCATATTGTTACACTTAGCTTCTGACTATTAAAATGTTTCCACCGTTACCAATGCCACCTAAAAATAATTACAAAATTACTTCTTTCCAATTTATCAAAAACAAAAACCTCAATTAAATCAATCCACAAGTTAGATGGTGATGAATACAATATTCTAAACTGGATTTATTGTTTCCAGACTTTAATGGAATACATAAACACATTAAAAGAGGGGATATAGTAATAAGCAACCCATTAACAGAAACAAAGCAAGCCTTTGAAATTTTTGTTCAATACTTACACATGAAAATGTCCCAAAATGTTAAGTAGTTGTCAGTCAACATAGCAAGGATTTCAGATATAAAAAACCCAAACAACTCATTAATGAGTTTCTGATAACCAAAATATTTGTTTGTTTTTGTTATTTTTTAAAATTTATTTTTAGGATAAAAAAAGAATAACCATTACCTCATGCAGTGTGCAAAGGCTTTAAAATAAATCTGTTAATGCAAATGAAAGACTAACTCCTGAGGCTTGTTTTTTTTTTTGAACACCAAAAAATCCTTAAGGAGTTTCACAAAATTAATTTCAACTAGTTTTCTTAAATCTGTTCTTAGCACTGAAGAAGAAACCTGTAACTTCCTTGCACTTCAGAAATGTATTCAGATGTACCTCTTTCAATACAAATATGTTCTTCTAACATATCTAGGAGTTGCTTAATTTACAAAAGCTTCAAATGAAATTAAGTGCAAAAATGTTTTCTTAGTGTTATCCAATTATTGAGGTAAATAGTTGGGAGAAGTCAGAAAAAAAAAAAAAAAAAAAAAAAGGAGGGTAGCAGGATCAACTGTATGGAAACAACCAGATGGAAAAAAAGGCAAATGCAAAATACAGGTTGTGGTGCACAAGGGAGATGTGAAAGAAGGAATAACAGCAACAATCAACAGTTCCCCAGCAGAACTTTAAACCAAAGCCCTTGAAATCCACTCAGCGGATCACCAGTAGCTGAAAATAAAGCTGTTTATGAGCATGTCTGGTGAGCTGGACTGTTGGGGAAGGGGCCGTACAATAGTCACAATTATATCTGGCTGCCTGACAATGCTGAGAATGTAAATGCTGCTCTGACAGCTGCATCGCATCCCGACCAACCACACAAAGGCTGAAAGACCCATCAAAGGACGAGTTCCTAACGGCAACAACGGGGTCACAATTACAGAGCAGTAGCTGCTATAGAAAATAATATAACATACGACAAACAAAAGACTGAGTTAGCAAAATGTGTTATAAAAAAGTATAAAAGTTGTTTTTAAAAAACTTTCTAAAAATTTCTTCTTTTGGAAAGGAGGAATATTAATCTGTAGCCTGGCATTGTCACAATTACTGAAGGGGTTCTATCAGATTGCTGGTGATCGACTTCTTGCAAATCAGAGGTGCATCCGTAAAACGCCCCAGGGTGAATGCCTGAAAGCTGGCCAGGCAGTCGGGGAATATCTGCAGCACAACCAGCTGTGTTTGTAGAGGGTGGACTAACACTTGGGTCGGAAATCTCCTGACTTGGTGTGCAGAGGATAGTGTAACACAGAGGAGCTAACAGACGACTTTCAGTTCAGTCCCACTGTCTGGATGCCAAACGCAGTCCTGGGCATATTTTGGGTTTCTTCCTTTTGAACCTGTCTTGCTGGGGAAGGTGTTCGGTGGCACGCCTGATGAGCCATGGCTTTGAGTCCCCACCAAACCCATCAGAAGAGGCTACTCTCATGGAAAGACATTTTGAACTTGAAAAATAAAAAGAAGACAAAAGTGCGAGCTGTTAGCTCAGGTAAAAAAACAAGTTGCTGTTCTTCATGATTACCGAACCCCAGTTAATCATCCTGAGTTAATGAGCTTTTTGACAACAGACAAGTCCAGTATGGACCCCTGCTTACACTGGCTACTAGCCATGACAACTGTGAGGCTTGAGTTAAATGAAGTGGATCCCAGCTGCTACAGCTTGGTAGGGCTGGGGAGGGACATGTTCTTCCTTCAAGTTCACCCAAGGGATACTCCTGCCATTTCTCCCCACCGTTACCCTACTCAGGAAACCCCAAACTCGCACTGAGCTCTATCAGTTCCATCTGCTTTGAAGCCCAAGGCAAATTGTACAGTTTCCATCCAAATCTTCAAATCTTCTTTCAAGTTTTTCAATAGATTTTTTTTTTCCTCATTCTGGGGCATGTTTTAAAGCCCATGAAAAACTTGCTATTGTGTTTAGATATGAAAAGTGCCACAACAAGGGATGCAAAGAGTCATCTCGCCTTTCCCAGATGTCCAAGTTCACAAGGCTATCAATCCAAGCCCAGGTGAATCCCATCTATTCTTTAGCCACACAGTAAGGTCTTAATCTTAAGAGTATAGTGGAGTTATTTGCTCTTCAAACTGATCTGACCTGCATTCACCAAAAGCAATATTCTCTTTGAATACCCATGCGTTTCAGAAATCTGATACTAACAAGGCAAGAACGTATTATAAATGAAATTTAACATTACAAAAATTCAAGATGTACAACATCGAAGATCTGTTTCATTTTTCTTAGCAGTTGCTTCTGAACTCCTTTGAACTGCTGTGTAACTTCAAACCAAAGACTTACTACTCTGCCTTCTTCCCCTTGACATTATCATCTCAGCCACAGATTCAATGTTATTTTAAAAACATCGATATAATACGATGCATGTAGCAATGCCATGAATCACAGAAGTAAAAAACTAAGCCTTAACATTCAGGAGACGAGCATAACCTCTCTTGACAGATCACCTCTTATATAGTAGGAGGGGTGGGGTGTGGGTTTTTTTGTTTCTTTTGTTGTTTTTACCTTAAACATGAGCTTAATCCAAACCCCACATTCAACTAAACATTTTCAGAGGCTTGAGAAGATGCCTCCACCCCCCATTTAAAAAGAAAAAGAAAGAATCAGGGTTAGATAGAAATGACTAAACACAAGGTCCTTTCGGAGCCCACCATCCAAGGGTGGTTAGCCAGAAGTAGTCATCTTCCTCGATCTTGATGTTTTTTTGTTTTCGTCTTTTTCTTTTTGTCCTCTGTTTTGGGTTTCAATGCACAGACACATGCAGACACACCAGCAATTGCTTTGGGTAAGTCAGTTCCTTTGTACCACTTATTTTTCTCCTTATCATAAACCTGGACTGTTTTGGAGAAGACCGTTTCTTCCCAGCTGTAGCCTCCAAGGATATATATCTTGCCTTCCCAGACTGCCACCCCTGACTCACTGTTTGCTTGCAACAGAGGAACAACTCTGGTCCACTGGTTACACTGGGGGCTGTATGACTCCACACTCAGAATGTCAAAACGCGCCATGGTTTCTATGTTGTCATCGCTGCCTCCAATGGAGTAGATATTGTCCTGTAAGGTGCACATGCTGTGCCACCCTCGGGCAGTGATCATCGGCCTCTTCTCCTCCCAAACATCTGTGCGGTAATCGTAACACAGCAGGTTTTTTCTATAGGGGCCAATCTGGTAATCGTGGCCTCCTGAAATGTACACAAATTCCTTGTAGACTGTTCCAGCATGGCCATAGGTAAACCTAGGACGGGCAAACAAAAATGATCCGCCTTAGTACTTACGGATTTTATCAACGTGCACAAGCATTCAACAAGGACGGGTACTAAAAAGGAAAATAAACAGTAACTGAAGACAGAAGAATCACTAATCCTGTTGGCTACCCAGTAGCTATTCTTATTCATACTGCTTCACCCTGCGCTGCAGAGTGCTAAGGTACGACAATCACTGTTTAAAGCATCCTTCTTATACCTGGTCGCTACAGAGCGCTAAGGTATGACAATCACTTTTTAAGGCATCCTCTACAGTGTGTCACACAACAGAAGTAACCCATCCTGCTTTAGTTGGCATGGCCTCCACTCCCATTTTCCTGCTCCAGTGCTTGGGTTGGATCAGTCTGAGAGGGCCAGAGAGGAAAAAATCCACATGTCAGCAAGGGTTTCTATGACAGAAAGAGGAAATAATCATGATACCTTTCAGGCTTACCAGTACGATTAACCAAGAAAAAACAGCATGAAAACTACTGCTGCCTTCCCCTTCCACAGCTTCAGGATCATGAATCACGTTTCTTACCCACCAGAGTTCACAGCCCAGTGTATTTGCAGTCATGATCCATGTAGTGTCCTTTTCATGAGCTATCCATCTGCTCTACCACTTCTGCTATACAGGTGATAACTTCTTTGGCCACCTCAAGACAAGGCAACAGACCTCAGACAATCAATTTCCATATTTGAAGTAAGACAAAACAAGATGGTAGAACCAACATCATGCATGCAGTTTCCACAGGGCAGAGAGAATGCCCCTTTGATCAGCTATAATAAAGCCACTACAAACCTAATTCTTGAGGCTTTTCTTAACTTGACACTAGGATATTCCTGACCAAACCCCTCTGAGTTCTTATAAGTGGAATGTTAAGGCAAGGGACAGCCTCGGCTTCTTTGAACATACCCTTCCTGCATATGCCTTTTCTTTTTTCAGGTGTGGGGGTGTCAAAAGATGTAGCTGCAGCACCAGCCACAGCAAACTGGCTCACACACCGGTACAAAGAGCTCAAACAATGTACTACCCATAGGGCTTCAGAGCAGCGTGCTCATCACGCTGTATGCACGAGCCTCTACTACCATACTTTGTAGTCAAGGACTCAAGACAACTCAACCTCTATCACAGACAAACCTACGTTAGCATGACTTTAGCATGGAATGTTTTTGAACCATGCCTGAACATACTCGAAACTCAATGTGGATAGAACCTTGAGCTGTTTTTATTTCGCATAGTAATAGTTTCTCTCAGCTACAAAAACGGTATCATAGCTTCTTCCACACACCTAAGGGCCAAGCACTTTTGTGCCAAGGGAAAAGGTGGAAGAGAAAAGAAAACCCACATCTACCCTAAAAGCACAACACTTCTGAGAAAAACATAAGATGTTTATTATTCTAGATGCCTACCAAAGCTTCTGACCCCTTACCAGTGTCCGAATCAGGTATTTCAAAAGGCTCCTGCTACAAGAAACAGAAAAATCCTTGACACACTTGGCCTAAGAATGCTGAGTGAACAGGACAGACCTTTCAACTACAGGGGCTGGAGCACCATCCCCGGAGACCTTGCAGAGATGACTTCAGAACTGCACTGCTTCTTAGCCACCCAGGAAAAAAGCAAGCAAGCAAGCAGACAGGATTAAGGCACAGTTATGAGACTTTATCCAAAAAGGCAACTAAAAAATTCTACAGCTCACAATCTGCCTAACCATGGAAGCACGTAACTCATGCTCGGTGCTTCTGTTTAACGTGAAATACCCTGAGCACATGCACTCCCAGCTTTCGCACCTGCCAGAAAGGCTATGGCAGGTATAGTGCACATAGACACTGCTCTACCTTGTTGGTGGTCTCTCACGGGGAGGAACTGGGAGTGTTAAGTCTCCACTGGCACCCAGGCTGGTTGCTAGAGTCTTTGCTTCTCTATATACACAGGAATGGTTCTCAAAAAGTAGACTACCTGTCTGGGAAGCAGGATGGACAACCTGAATTCATTTCCTTTCTCAAACTACACTAGATTTTAAACCCACATCTAACCCACAAGCTACCTGGAGGACGCACAGTGCGCTCCATGGTGGAGGCAGTGTCAGGTCACAGACAGTGTTGAGGAGTCAGAAGGAGAAGAGTGCAATAACACTGAATCCAAAACATAGCCCAGGGTTATTGTACCACTCATAGAAATCACATTACATTGAGTATTTGGAAAAAAAAAAAAAGACCGTAAGTTAAGAAAAACTTGAATGACCTTTGGAGAAGTAGGTTCAATGTTTTCCTACACTAACTGGAAAGTGGAATTCTCTACAGGTAAGCAAGCAATAGACATTTTCTCTCAACCACGTGCATGCAGTCTAGCATAGACAGCTCCAGAAAAAGCACCGATGCTTTTCTTTTTGCCTCAATCAATGCGTGTGCGTAGTGAATAGCAATAGCTACAAGAGTAATTTGAAACAGGCAATCATATCTGAAGCATCAAATCAACCATCAGTTTGTTATTTCCCAATATAGGGAGATTACCCACCGAAATATGCTAGAGGTGTTTCACTTTACCTGACTTCTGAAAAGCTCGTCCAAAACTGCACACATACCTGGCTTCACATTAATAGAAAACTGCATGAAATACAATGCAAAAATCGAAAACAATCAATAAGAATCCTTTCTGCAAGCCCTATGGTTTAAACAGAGGCACATCGAAGCATCCAACAGAACAGGACACTTCAGTACAGTGGGTCCAGACACCCTCCAACAGAAAGCATCAAGCGTTTTGGCAGCATCATCTATAAGAGTGGCCAGAAAAAGACAGAGGCATTAAGGAGAAAGAAAGTTCGACTGATTAACATCTGCTAGAGCCAGACGCCGATTTTGAATGACTTATCCACACACAATGCTGCAAAAATTACAGTTTCTGACCAAGTAACACCATTCAGTACATGCTAGAAAATCTACCATTTATTTTTGTAAGTAGAAGAACACTTGGCCTGACTTGATAAAGCTTTGGGAATCCCCTACTCCAACCACAGTCCAGGCGAGCTGTGGCTACTCCACGTCTCCGTGTCCACCTGTTGCAACCCAGCGAGATTATTCATGACACAACTGGTAGAGCAGATACTATCATTTTTTAACCTGTTCCAACACATTTCCTCATACAACTGCTTTCAGTTGTTTTGCCAGACATTAACCTAGGCCACTCAATTAATTTCACTCATGTCTGCAGCACATGTTTTCATGGTCTGTTCAAGACGAGAACACATTGCACCAACTTCTGCTCTGCCAAGCTTGTCAGCCACCGCTGCTCCCTTCCAGGCTAGAAACTGCAGCAGCAACTGCTCCCAAAGAACCTGGGAAAATGGTGAAAAAAATACAGGACCTCTCTGAAGAATGGGAAAGATATCCCACAACTAAGGACCCAAATGAGAGCCAGGCAAAATTCACTTGCAGCAGACTTGGACCAGGTCCAGCCTTTAAACAGCTTGGCTGAAGTCTTCCACATTAAGCGTCTGTCTCAAGATGCTGTGTTTTCTTCTCCAGCAAGGCAGCATTATTTCAGTTAAAACAGCTCAGCTTCTTCCAAGAAAATGGTTAGTGAAAACGATGTGTTGTTTTGACCATGTTGGGGTGGGAAGAAGAGATAAAAAAGAGCTTGCGAAGCTCTTCCATAGAGGCGTATGACTGTGCCTGTGCACAGCAACATGGACACAGGATTTGGCAACGGACAGGAGGCATGTCTGTATTCAAGGACGCAACCGTTGCTTTCCTCCTGAAAATCTCCACACAGGGAAAGCTATAACACTTCGAAAGAAAAGAAATAAAACCATTTTCGGGATGTTGAGAGTAGAAGCTTTAACAAATAAGTAACCTCTAAGAGTGCAACCCCATGCAGTTCAAATCGAACAACGCAAGCCTACACTCCAGAATAACCTCGACGTGCACCTATATCACTCCAGGAACAGCCTTCCAGGCAGCTGCCGGCTTCGAGTGGTCAGAAACAACACCAGGGTTGCGGGCAGGGAGCCTGCTCCTGGCGGCCACACACCCAAGAGGACAAACCACCTGCACATGTTCTCGTCGGAGAAGAAGAAGACAGAAAAATGCAGGAAACAAGGCAGCTACGTTGGGACATGTTGCCTGACTGGGCAGTCAGGAAGCAGAGGACTGGAGCTTCTGATTTCCTCTACATGAGGAGAAAAGACTTGCTGCCAGAATAGGGGTGGGCAGGATGTTGTTTGGGTAAAAGCAGTAACTAATATCAGTCTGAGGAACATAAGCATCTGACGGGGAGGAAAAACAGATCAGATCAAGGGCTAAAGGGATACAGGAGCACACAGAAGAAATGGTAACTAGCATGCTTTCTTCTAGTCTTGAATAGATCACAAAATTCTCTCTCATCCTTCCTCCGCTGTCAGCAAATCCATTTGAAGTACCTCAGGAAAGGACAGCCCAGATCCCTTTCAGCAGCCACCCACACCTGCCAGAGCCACTCCTTTCTCCCTGAGCTCGAGTAGCGCTTGCTTGCCCCTGCATTCTGAAAGGTTTCTTTCTGTTGTCCACCTCTGCACTGATTTTTGCCTTTTGCAACCTGCATAGAGTTCTTTTTGCTTTATTCCTCCTATGCAGAAAAATGTTTGTTGCCAACAATACACTGCCCAACGCAAGAGTTCTCCAAAAGGAGAAAGAGGGCTGAAAAGACAGAAAATCTGAAGGCAGGAAGTGTCGACTAAGATCTGACTAAAGAGATACTTACATGCAAGAGAGCAGCTACATGGAAAAGTGGAAAACTAGTCCACCAGGCAGCTGCACAAACACCTGAGCTGGCACACAGGACAGGTAGCAACAGGATGAGGACAGAGCAGGCAGGAGGAGAGGATGCAGAACTATTTCTTTGGAATGCAGCAGTAACTTAGTTGCCATATTACAGCCTAAGCCTGCAGTTTTGCAACCAGCTACCTCAACGTAAGTGGGGTCTATCCCACAAGGGCGACTTTTGGCCAGTCCAAGCAGATCAGCTAAGCAATCTAATAAAAAATTAACACCCTCCACGTCAACGTTCACTTTTAAATGCTGCAGCTGCAAAATTCCCAAAGCCAACACACAGGTAGCAGCAGGAACATGCAGAAAAACTGCCCCTTTTCGGACAGCTTCCTTGTATATGCTTTCCCATGTATGCTGGGGAAAAAAATCCATACCAGTTCTAAGGTGAGTGTTTTTCTAACAATATAGCAGGCAGTCAGGTCACACCTACATTTCTTTGAAAAACATTTTAAAAGAAAAAAAAAAAAAAGAGCTGTGCTACAAATTCTATGAGATATTACTGGGATCTGAGGCCACTCCAATTAACAGAAGGGCTTAGGAACTGAAGACACTCTCAAACACAGCTTCCCAGGAAAGATTGTGGTGTTTAGCCTCAACTGCCAGATCTATCTATGTGAGCAGAAATAAAATGGAAAGAAAAGCATCCTGCTTCTGAAGAGCACTCAAGCCCAGCTGTTGGCCTGGATCAGACTCGCATTGCAGCACCTGCCCAAAATAGAACCGGGCAACAGGCTGCTGTGCCTTCACTGGCTGCCTACAGCTCTGCAGCTCTGCAGCTCAGGGAGTCAGGGGAAAAAAAACCTGAACTCTCAAATCAAATTGCAAGTATCTTGTTCATGATGCCTCTAAGAAAGCAAGCACTGCTGCTGAAGTTGCAGGTTTCAGACATCACGAAAATACCATTCATATAGCCAGTACTCCTGTAATCTCCATGAATGTGAAATATTACTAAATCTGAATAGCTGTTTGCAAGTGAAATGCTATCGTACCATTCTTACGAAGTCACTACTCAAACACTGATTCAGGACAGGAGCAATGTCCTGTGCTGCAGTTACAAGAAGAGCTGCAATATTAAAGCCTCTCAAAAGTAGAGCGGCTAAGTTTTAACTATGAGAGAAAGGTCACAGGTTTTCCTGGGTTTTCTGTATTTGCAATACAGGTAAACATGGTTTATCTGCAACAGCCAACCTCAGCAGCCTAACAGAGGGAAACACCTTGCAAGGATAGCAATCACAACAAGGTGACAAAGTAAGGCAAAAAAAATTCTAATTTAAAAATGAAATTTCAGACGTACCTCAGGACAAAAATTAAAACCAATCAAGCCGACATGAGGCACGCTGCCTGGAAGAAATGGTTGCTCGAACACCAAATGCTGATACAGTTTGTTACTTGCCGACACCATGTTGGTTACATCTCCCCTCCCCTCCCTTCTAGGCATGCCCACTGATCAGCTAAAGTCACACAAGCTCCCTCTGCTACTGTTCCTCAAACATGGGGTAACTTTCCAAACACGTCCATTACCTTGGCAAGCCTGCTATATAGGACCATGAATCCTTCTGAGGACTGTAGGTCTCAACTGAAGAAAGTGCCCCATTTTCATTCCTGCCACCAACAGCTACCAGCATGTCAGTAATAGCTCCCAGGTAGAAATCTACACGGCGTTGTCTCATGGAGGCAACCTATCAAAAAAAAAAAAAAAAATATCACATGCTGATATCTCCAACATCCGGTAAGCAAGCTGACTTAACGTATATTCACGTCTGAGGACAGAATTTGCTTCTTCCCATTTATTTGAAAAGGAGAGCTACTGGGTTTGATCCCTTATATTCATAAAATACTCCTGCTTTTCTGCACCAGCATGTTATGCAGCATTCCTTTTCAAAAAAGGGGGACAACAGAAAGCATCCAAGAGACAGGTCACTCTATGAAGTTTGTGTTGCATGAGCCTCCTTACAAAACTCTGCAAGAGACATAAACTGAATTCACTCAGAAACATAACTGACCCACACAGGATGAGTGGTTCAAAGTATGGGAACAGTGTAATATTTCATAGGTCCTGCACTGGCTGGCAGGGTTTTACAGCAGGGCTGCAAGTTAATAGCTTGTTCTAAGAGACATTTAGCACACAGACATATGGCATGTGTCAGAGACCTTTTTATATCAGATCCATTTTTTATTTATTTATATGTGCTACTGCTTGGGAAAGGTGAAATAAGCAATTGCATCTGTAAGTCCATTCTAGCATTATTCCCCAAAGTCATCTAAAGAGTTGCAGGTGGATGCTGACCAGGAATTTTACGGCCAAGATGCTCAGTTCTCAAGTGAAGCCGAAAATCTGCCCCAAGGTCTTTCGCTGCGTAACTTAAGCATTCCCACAAAGGAAAAAAATTGTAAACATTAAGGACTTTAAACAGAGAAATAATACAGCTTAAGTCTCACCTTTATCCACTGGTTACAGCGGGGATCATACCTATATAGGAGATTTGAAGCTGCATCCCCTCCATTGTCTCTTGAAAAGCTGCCTCCGGCTATGAAGATGAAGCCTCCTAAGACGGCAACACAGTGGTGACTTCGTCTGGCTGGGAGAGGGGTTTCTGCTACCCACTGCCCCTTTTGGACGTCCAAGAAGCAGGTGTCATCACTCAGTTCCAGGCACCGCTCAGAAACCTCCCCACCCACAAAGAGGAGCCTCTCCTCACAGGTCCGTAGGGCTGTCCGTTTGTTTTGCAGCACCGGCTGAGCCGTGACATTGTTATGGTAGGTCACCGCTTCCTCTATGAACCCTTCACAGTTCGCTTCTTTGGGAAGAAGAGAGCAGACAGCAGGCTTCACTCGATGGAGGAGATCACTTTTAGGTATCAAGGGAAAATGAATGTTATCCAGAACCTGGTAAGCCTCGTTCTCCCTTTCCGGGTACTGGGTAAGCCACTGCAAGGCAGCCTGAAGCAAGTCGTGCTCGCACTCCTGCTGCACGTTGCTGCTGTCCAGGTATTGGCACAACTTCTGCATGGAAATGTTCTGCAGGAAGTCCGGGGTGAAAGACAGCGTGCCGAAGTTCTGCAAGATGAAAGAATCAATGTAGGAGTCAAGGCGCTTCAGGTTGTAAATTGAGGCTAGCTCCTGCAGGTACAAATAGTTCTCCTCACTGACTTCATTCTCCAGATACTCGCAACAGAAGTCAACCACCTTCCAGATCTGCAGCAGGTGAGCTGTCTCAAGCACATAGTCGATATTGCCTCCATCTAAAGACAGCTCACTGCCATAAAGGAAATCCACTACAGCCTTAAGGCCAATATAAGAGGCTCCAAAAAGTTCAACCTCCTTTTGGTGGGCTTCTCGCATACCAATGGTGAACATAGAGTTGAAGTAGTCACTGCAAACAGCGAGGAGGTTGCGATGGGCAGGGACTCTCTGCTCATCCACCACGAGGACAATGTCACAGAAGAGGCCTCGGTGCCTCTGCTCATTCAGGCTCTGAAGAACTACACTGGAGTGGTCATCCCACCTGTACACCTGGAGTAAACAAACAGCAGCAGGCAGATGTTATCTTCACCAAGGTAAATTTCAGTGTGCACAAAGTGTTCTCCAATTAGATGCAGTCATAGGCGAGAGAGAGAAAGCTTACTTGTGTTGCACATTTATAATAACTTCCGACTTGAGACAGCTGGCAAGCAACATAGTACGAGCCCAAGCTCCCCACCTTCACTTTGAAAGGCTTATGCAGACTTTTACTGCTTCCTCCTTCCCCCTTTTTTTTTTTTAAATAATTTACTCCTACCTCCTCCATGATGCTGCATCCAAACCTCCTCCCTGATGACTTATACAGGCTCAACTTTCTGAAACTCTTCCACTCATTGTCTTCGAGACATCTTGCTGACATTTCCTTTCTTACTCATCCCCCAAACGACTCCTTAAAGAGTTCTTCTCAGCTAAGCTATTCACTGAATATTTGGAGTGGGAGACACACACGCAGCAGTACGCCAAATTTTCATTCAGCCCATGTATTGTTTGGGTTAGTGCTTACTTGACAGCTACCCCCTCTTAAATCTTTTCAGAACTCTGCATTTCTAAGCTCGTTAGGGTAAAATCCCCCCCTTTCTTTACATATTATTCCAGGCACACAGACTGCATTCAAAAATAATAGCTGTTTATTTATGTGCAAAGCCACAAGACTTCTACTTGCTTCCAGAAGCCAGGGTAGTTTTTGTTTTAATGAATATGACTAAACATTTTTTTTTTCTAGCGAAAGGGTAAAATGCCCTCAGAACACGGCCCCCAGCGCCCTTTTGGGATCCCTCCGGTCCAGACATTCTTCCCACCAGCTCTGTACATGCCACAGAGCTTTTGAGGCAACCAGTGTTCGCCTCCGTCTCACAGACTCACGTTACCAATCCTAAGAAGAATCAAAATGGAAATGTTTTGTCACCCCTCGAATGTCCTGCAGAACGCGTATGGAAGGAGCTGGTCCCCCCACCAGGTCAAGCGACGCAGCTTTTAGGACCACCCTTCCAGAGAAATGGAATGCTTGATGGTACAGTCTGTTACCTTGTGATCTCTCTTAATAAAAGCCAGGTTAAGTTAAATGCAAATACATAATTTTAATTACCAAATCCAAAACAAGCAGAGTTGCAGAGCCTGCAAGAACCTGCAAGAGAAATGAAAGGAGGTGGAAAGCAAGCACATCTTTGTATCGTACCTAAGCTAGCTCTGAACAGTTCTGGCTGTAGGACCCTGGGTCTTGCCCAGTTCTACACCCTCAGACTTCATTCCCAGAAGTGACACCCTGAAAAGCCATCTCACTCCATGTCTGCATTGAAAACAGTCACACAGGTGACATGAGGCCTGTGCAAGCCTCTCAGGCTTTCAAAACCTTTCCTTCACCAAACTGTTGCTTCTCCTAGAAATCCTAACCATCCATGACTTTCCTGGCTTCCCAAACAGAAAGCACATGATTGCTGCTGTCTGGCTAAGCCATTAACGGGTTGGGTATATCATGGTGAGATGACCTCTCTACCCACCTGGATGGGAAAGGTTCAAGTCCTAGAGCCAAGTATTTTCCCCTGCACACAACCCTTCCTCTACATATGCACTCTGTGTACATAATTTGTTAATTGTACTTTTATACGATGAGATAACCAGGATTAATGCACGCAGCTCACCACTGTCGAGACGTGATGGTAGCCAACTGTCCTGAGCTAATACTGACCTTGGGAGCCCGACTTCCCACGCCTGCCTTTTAGCAGTCGGTGGAACAGCAACAGGCAGCCCGACAAAGATGAGACCCAAATTAATAACCAAATGTGCTGCTCTTAGCATAATATCCCAGTGGTTTCTCTTTAGTTTTGCTTACGCTCTTTTCTAAACAATGGAGACTAAGCTGCCAAATAGCCTTCTGTGGGAGTAACTTTATACATGGAAGTGTACAGTTAAACCAATCTAAGCGAAGAGGCTTCAATAATTATAAGTTTCCTGGGCCACAACCCTTTAATTTGCCTTATACTCATTTCCTCATCGTATCTCTGAATTCAGAAAGGGATCTATAGCATAGTAGACAAAGTAACAAAGTAGACCAAGTAACTTCCACTGAGGAATAAAACTGCCAGAGCTCTGTAACAGAAAAAAATATGGGGTTTAAGGACTGTAAAGTTTTTTATCTTCATTTTTCTGAGTTTAAGAAATGCTGATATCACACAGGAGCCCAAGCAGAGACCAGGGAATGGAGGAGGTGGGGAGAATAATTGATATGCCAAAGGACAAACCACACATTCATGACAATAACTAACATCTTACAGCACCCTCTTCTGAATCTGACTCATGGGGAACAGTTATTGGATTAAACCAAAAACATATTGCCTCCTGTCACTGGAAATTGGCTGATCACTTCTCTCTAATATTCTCTAATACCACCATCGTGCATAACAAGATCACACCAGAATACAAGATTTGCCCGAGATCCCTATTTACTTAGCTGGCTCTCAAATCAGCAGCATAATCCTGATCGCAAATACGCCTGAGAACTCGTACTCCTAAAATCCCTGTTGCCATGCAGAGCTGCTGCTACTTCAGAAATCAAGCATAAAGCCATTACGTACGGCATTGAAAGGACTCAGAATATATCAACGTATTCCAGCCACTTAGCAAGTTCATTCGTTCAGCATGTAAATAACGGAACCTGATAGCTGCACATTTCAAAATCAAGACTAATTTTATACTAAACACGAACATCTTTCTCAAGCTATTTATACTCTGTAGAACAGCTTTAGCATTATCTAGTAATTCTAAGTTTAACACATAGTGACAGCTGCTGTCTAAGCCAAAAATAAAACAATGCTGTCAAGTTAATTTTTAATATGATGAATTATTATCGCATTCAGACTACACCATTTTAATAGTAGACAGGATCTGCACTCAGGGAAAGATTATATTGGCAGGGATGCATTTAAAAATTAGTCCCATTTATCTTTTATCCATCGTATTAGACCAGTATTTTAACTTCTTTCGGACTCAAAGATCTAATTTCTTTCAGATGGTTAATGCGGTACCACTACTCATCAGTGATGCAAAAGAAAATGAGATCTGTCTCATTCAACTTTGACAAGGCAGTCACAGGCACTGGGAAGTTTTTCTCTTCTAGTTGGTGCCAGTAGTACAAGGTGCTTGCTCTGCAGCATCTGTGACCTAGTGCTCACACGAGAACAGAAAAGCAGTTTTCACTGGTATGAAACAAAGCAAACATAGTAATTACAGCTGATGTTAACATCTTGTAAATCTTAGGTCATCATCCTGATGGCCTGCATAAAGAGCTACCCAAGACAGACTTCCATGGATTCCCAACTAATAATCAATGTATTTGTGCAGACAGAGATTCTATACAAAGAACATTAACCTCACAAGCCTCAGAAAACATCTCGAGTTCACTGGAATAACTACTGTTTGCAGGATCAAGACTCCCATCTGGTACAAAACAAAGACTAAATCTAAAAAGTAATCCCAGCTCTGCTTCTGTAACTAGCTTGGATTTTATGAGATGGATCGGTACAAAAAATTCCCCAAAATAAACCCATCGCATTTAATGACTCAATTTTTGGTGCAGAGAAAATACTGTGCTGTGATGATGTGGATTTCTTTTTTCAGTTATGAGTCATGATGAGCAGATGCCCCTTCGCTCCTGCTTTTTTTTTTTTAAATCACTAAGTAGCAACTTCTTCTATCAAAAACATCTGAGCAGGTAGACCACCATTTTCATACCTCTTTGTAACAGCTCGGAACATTCCCACTCCTACAAAAACAGTTCATCCAAAGGAAAGCCTTTACCCCCCTTCTTGGTTTTTCTGCAACTTGCGTTTTAGGTAGGCAACACGAAACGCACAGACCTTTGAGGATTCACTTATCTTGTGCGGACGACAGATCCTGGTTTGCCTGGTTCCCTCCATGACCGATCCACTGCACTTCTAGAACAAAGGCAAAAAAAAGATGTTAGCAGCACACCAACCCTCTCAGCGCGCTAGAAATCGTACTGTGCTGAACAAACAACACAACGAAGCCAACCCGCACATCCTCATCTGCGGCTCGAACATGTCCGAGCTGCACTTTTTTCTCCCCCC